CTCCTGTTCCCTTCGGAACCAAGACCGCCTGGCACTAAAAACACATTGAAAACATCGACTCTTTACCCTTTTTTTTTTCCTTTTTTTTTTTTTCGGTACAAAATGATACAAACAACAATACAAAATATTTGTGCTGTTGACGATTACAAAAAAAGTCGAACATCTGTCTCACCGCACGATGCTCAGAGCTGCAGTGTGAACACATCATACTCCAGTATCTTTCCCAAAACAACCACAGTGTCATGCGGGCTGCTACACATTTGTCCATTTTCAAAAATAAACATGCAAAAAATAAATCATAATGAAAAAAAGGAGAGGAAGAAAAAGCAAGGTGCGTCCCAGGTGTATCTGGAGGTGGTTTCCACCGGCCGGCTGGTGTGGCAGAGCCTGATCAGTGTGCGGTGTGAGCTGCCGCACCTGGCGCTCTGTGCAGGGCGATTCTGCGTTGAGTTTTTGGTTTTGCCTTCAACTTGGAACTGGAAACTTTCCCTCCCGTTTACCTTCGAGAGCACAGAGGTGTCATTCTCAACAGACTGAGTACTCACTGGGGGAAACTGATGCATCTCGAGGGCCTGACAATGGCCCCGACTCTGACACCTTGGTGGCAGGAAGCCCAGCATTTTGGATGTGCTGAAAGACAGAGAGAAAAGCTGCTGCTGGGAGTCAGGGTGACTGAGGCTGACCATGACCAGGTGTTCTTCCAAGCTACACAGCAGTGCAGGTTTCTCCCAAAGGAACTGAACCACACCCTCGTACTGCACAGAGCTGGCCACCAGCCTAGTTTGGCTGGGCCCTGACCACAGACGCATCGTATCTACAAGCTACAGAAGAGAAACATTTGACACTGACTGAATGCTCCGCTAATGCTAACGTGTTGGCCTTGGAACAGAGTTCCAAGATGAGTCTGGGAATGCGTGGAACCCTCTCTTTATCTAGCCCCAGGGGTGTATTGGGGTGTTCAGTGGGTGTTGAAAGGGACAAGCTGCTCAGCTTGTAGGAACCCCATGGACGATCCTGCAAGGGCCTGGCAGTGACAGGGGCCTGGTTGGGGGGTTGCGGGGAGGTGGAGGCAGATGAGACATTCCTCCAGATGTCTGATAGATTTGGTCCCTCCCATCCCAGGATTCCAAGAAAGCCTTGGGATTTCAGAGGACAGTCCATGACTACCATGTCATATGCACACTTTCCAATCATATGCACACTTCCATTAGAACATTCACGATTCTCGGGTTTTCCAAAATCAAACTCAGAAAATTCTTCTTATACCCCCAGCCCTGATCCATAGCAATCCTAACAGTAGCCATGCGAAGCTCAGCACCACCCTCATTGGTTGCTGACCCCTAGGGAGCAATTTGCATAGGAGAGCTTATCTCCTGCCCCCCCCCCCCCCCGGCCTTCTATGAGCTCTGTCGGCCTGGCTGGCTGTAAGGAAGAGGACTGTCAGGAAGCTACAGAGGCCCCTGTCCATCCTACCTCCTAGGACAGCCAGATGAGGAATAAGAATGGACACAGCTGAACGTATGCCTCAGCTCAAGTCCAGGAGTTCAGAGTGGGGACATGTTTGGTTTGGGAAAGAACCCTGACATCCAATGGGTCATACCCATAAGTTTGGCGCCCATGAGTCCACTCAGGTGCGTCTTTGTGGCCAAAGCAGTCTGGAAAAGGGGATGAACCTAGCCATGGTGTAAAGCCAGACACCACGAGGAGCCCTGAATTAGAGACCTCTGGCTGGGGAGCATGCTATCTCCTGGGTACCCTTTGGAAGTCATCCTGGCCCCTAGTAGCAGGCATAGGCTGGGGATCTGGGAGGAACTTACTTTTCATCAATGCTGGGACTTCTGTTGTCTCCCCAAGGAGACTCGGACACCAAGCTACCACCACTCTCAACCTGTCGTACTGCCTGGAGTAAGCCAGGAATCTGACTTGGCACAGGGTGCCCCTCCAGTGCCTGCCGTTCTGCCCCATCCCAGGGCTCCTTTGGGCCCAGATGGCCTGTTTTCCCCTCTAGTGAAAAGGCCAGCGTTGCCATCTCCCATAGGTCCTTGTACATAGCCTATTCACTGTCTTACAGAAGTGGTCACCCTGCCCAGTCTGCCCTGTGTCAAGCTACCCATGGAAAGTGCAACGCCAGATCCAGAGAACAACAGAAACATGGGTCCCAGTCAGAGCATCTGTGGTCACATGGGCACAGTGAGAGTCTCTCACCGGCCACTTGGAATAGGTCCTGACATCATAGCAGTTCATGGGGCCAGGCAGCAGCTTGGGCCAAACGGGCCCAGGGAGGCCAAGCAGCTGCCACAGTCTGGCCAGGCGCTGCTCTCTGCTGTCTGTACAGCCTGGGGAGTACGTTGAGAGCATTTGGGGGTTCCGTTGAGGGGTGCTTTGCTATGCCTTCAACAGGATCCCTCAGGGTCTCATCCTGAAGAGTAGAGGGTGGTGCCAGGGTTCTGCAGGCTGCTGTGGCTTCTTGGACAACACGCTGTCCTGGACCAAACAAAAGGGGACCTCGGTGGTATTGAGGATGACAGCTGGTCCAGAGAGGCTTTCTGGTGGACATGGCAGTGGCCAAGTACAGGGGTGAGGACCGTCTGGGGTGGTCTCTCGGCATCACACCTGTCCCAGCTATTTACAGTATCTTGAGGGGCAGGATACAAGTTCAGGTGAAAGCCAAGTCCAAACAGAAGTGTCTCTGCTGCTGGGGTTGGGCTAGCCCAGTGCTTTTTGGCACCAGAAAGTCTGATCCTCACTTAGCAGCCTTGGGGAACCCAAAGGGCCCAGGAGACACTGTGAGAGCTGGACCCTCACTGTTTCTGCAAACATGTCATCCCCTTTCTTTTCCTTAATAAAGGACTTTAAAAAAAGACATATTCTCTCCCATTCCTTGCCTGTTGCCTTCAGAGGGGACCAGATTGGGTTAGGGGCTGTGGGCAGGGTGGGAAGAGCTGGGGTCTTGGGCTGTCTCTTCTTTCAGTCACTCCTGAGTTAGAGAATCTGTCGTGTGTACCAAAAGGCACTTTTGTTTTTTTGTTTTAACAGTGCTTTTGTTGTAAGAAATTCAAGTTAGGGCTGTGCCTCTGGCTCTCCCTTCACGGTACGTGGCTACTGAGATGCTGCGGTGGTGGTGGGCGCAGTGGTGGTGGGCGCTTGGCGGCTTATGTCCTTACTGCGCAGCTCCACGCGGAGGGGGGGCGGCAGTGGGGGAGGAGCCTCTTGACACCAGGAGGACTCTGGCGCCTCTGCTCAGTCCCGCTGCTCGCCCTTCTCATGTCGGTGGGAGAGGTGAGGTTGGCTAGTCCTCCTCACCACCCCCATACATGTCTGCCAGCTTCTTGAACCGGGGCCCCCAGTCATTCAAATAGTCGTAATCTTGGTCCCCGGAGCTGGAGGAGTTGAGGGAGCTGACGGAGCCTGCGGTAGAACCACTGCCTTCATAGTCGAAGACAAGCAGAGAGTCATAGGGGGGTGCTGTGGGGTCATTGTCAGCAGCTCGGAGTCCCTGGGGATCATAGAGACGAGCGGTTAGGGTGGAGTGTGTACAGTCAGCCCAGTGATCCGACAGACAGAGGAGACCCACACAAGCGGGCGGAAGGAGGGCAGGATCTTGCATACAGTAGGTACTCAATACTTGCTGCATGTGTTTGTTTGTCTGCAGGGTGTTTCCAAGGACCAAATAAGGAGGTGTGTTCATAAGAGCAGACACAAGGGCTTGAGAGATGGGTGGCTCAGTGGGCGAGAGCACTTGTTGCTCTCACAGCACCACATGGCCGCTCACAGCCATCTGTAACTCCAGTTCTGGGGGACTCACCCCATCTTCTGACCTCTGTGAGTGCTGTACACACTCGGTGCACAGACATCTATGCAGGCAAAGCACTCAAACACATAAAATAAAATATGTAAATCTAAAAAAAGACATGGAGTGTAGGGCAGGAAGCTCAAAGCCACCGGCAGCTACATCAGGAATGAGGCTGGGTACGGGGCTGGGCCATGTGTAGTGTGCTGCCCCACCAAGGGTTAGCCTTGGAACAGGGTTAGGTGTAGGGTTAAGCTCAGGATTAGGGCTAAGACTAAGTTTATAGGGTTAGGACTATTGTTAGGGTTAAGGTCGGGTTTGCATTAGGGTTAGGGTTCAGGTTAGAATGTCAGGGCTCAAAGTGAGGCTTAGGTTGATGCTAAGGACAGACTAGTAAAGTTAGGTTTAGGATTAGAGTCACAGCTATTCTATGGTTAGTATGAGGTTAGCTATGGTTTGGCCTGGTGCTAGGGCTAGAGTTGGGGTTAGGATTAGGAGTAGGTTTAATTCAAAGCTTAGGTTGAGGTTATGGTTATTGTTAGGGTTAGTTAGGTTATGGTTAGGTTTAGGGTTACAGTTAGGGCTAGGTTAGGTGATGATTAGGGTACAGTTAGGGTTAGGGGTACAGTTAGGGTTAGGTTAGGATTAGGATTACAGTTAATGCTAGGTTATGGTTAGGGTTAGGTTTAGTGTTAGGCTTAGGGTTAGTGTTAGTGTTATTGTTAGGGATAGGTTAGAGTATGGTTTTAGTTATGGTTAGGGATAGGTTAGGGTGTGGTTATATTTATGGTTAGGGTTTCATATTGTGGTGACCCCCAATCATAATATTATTTTGTTTCTTTTTTGTAACTCTACATTTCCTACTGTTATGCATTGTAATGTAAATACTTGTGGGCTTTGATGGTCTTAGGCAACATCTGTGAAAAGGCAGTTTGACTCCAAAATGGTTTTTGACCCACAGATTGAGAACCACTGTGTTTGAGTTTGGTTTTGGTGGTTTTAGAGTTAGTTATTATCTTAGGCTTATGGCTGCGTTTGGTGTTTATGTCTAAACTAGAGTTAGGGCTAGCATAAGGGTTATAATTACGTCTAGGTTTTAGGTAGGGTCATGCTAGAGTCAGTGTTTTATTAGGCTATATTTAAGGTTAGTTTTGTTTTTAGGGTTATAGACACGATTATATTATAGCTAGTACTAGGAATGTTGCTGTAGGATATTCTGTATGCTAAATGCGTTGCTCTGATTGGTTAATAAATAAAACACTGATTGGCCAGCAGCCAGGCAGGAAGTATAGGTGGGACAAGGAGGGAGGAGAATTCTGGGAAGAGGAAGGCTGAGTCAGAGAGATACTACCAGCCGCCGCCATGACAAGCGAGATGTAAGGTACCGGTAAGCCACGAGCCACGTGGCAACTTATAGATTAATAGAAATGGGTTAATTTAAGATAAAAGAACTAGTTAACAAGAAGCCTGCCACGGCCATACAGTTTGTAAGCAATATAAGTCTCTGTGTTTACTTGGTTGGGTCTGAGCGCCTGTGGGACTTGTGGGTGAGAGAGATTTGTCCTGACCGTGGTCCAGGCAGGATCAGAAAAACTCTAGCTACAAAATGTGGTTATGGTTGTACCATAACTAAGATTAGGAGTAGTCTGGGTTTTGACAAGGACTATAATTAGAGCTAAGCTTCTTTTGGGCTGGGTTAGGGTTGCGTCTAAGGGTATGCTAGGGTTATGGCTAGCGTTATGATTTGTGCTAGGGGCACTATTAGGCTTTGAGATGTGGCTAGGGTTATGGTTATGGTTATGGTTAGGACTTGTTAGTATCAGGAATAGGGCAACGTTAGGTTAGAGTTGAGGATATGGGTCAGGTGGGACAAGGGACAGGACTGTATGTTCTGTTTCTTCCTTGCTATTTTTTTTAAATGGTCTCATTGAGCCCAGGCCTTGATCTCACTGTGTGGTTCAGATGACTGAATCACCATGTTCAATTCTCTGCAGAGTGGGGGATCAAGCCCAGCCCCTTGTGCTCTGAGGCCTGCATTCTACCCCCTGAGCCTGGCCTTCACACTCTTCATTCTTTTTCTTTTCATGATATTTTCCTTTGTTTTTTATTATTCATTTTTTATTTTTTCCCTGTCCTTTCCTTCTCCAGTTGGGAGTTTCATTCTTTTGTACTCATTCCTTCTAGTTCTCCATCATCTACTGAATGCTTTGTATGTTCTGCGTGCCGCTTTGGCCCGCCTCTGCCCTGGGAAGGGAGTGATATTCTCATCATCTGTACCTTTACTCTCTGTCTGTAATTTCTTCTGAATGACTTACAAATGGGCTGTGGACTGGAGGTTGGGGGTTGGTGGGGCGTGCTTTGCAGACCTTAAACATTTTGTTGCTCATGATGTCTGAGCATCAGTGGCTGTGGTAGTTTGAATGTAATTGGCACCCATATATCTCATAGGGAGTGGCACTATTGGGAGCTGTGGCTTTGCTGGAGTAGTAATGGCCTTGTTAGAGGAAGTGCGTCACTGTGGGGACAGGCTTTGAGTTTCCTATGCTCAGGACACCACCCAATGTGTCTCAGTTGACTTCCTGTTGCCTGCATGATGTAGGGCTGCAGCTACCACTCTGGTATCACGTCTGCCTGCATGCCGCCATGCTCCCTGCCATGATGATAATGGACTGAACCTCTGAAACTGTAAGCAGCCACCTCAATTAAATGTTTTCTTATAAGAGTTGCTGCAGTCATGGTGTCTCTTCACAGCAATAAAATCCCTGACTAAGACAGTGGCTTTCAGGTAACTTTGGAACTTGGTGACATCTGTGACGTTCTGAGAAAACTTCTGGATGTTTGCTGACTCACAACCTGGGTTATCATGTAAGAGAATCTGCCATTGGCTGAGGTTATGTGTTGCTGACCCCATTTCAAATGCCAGTCTTGAGGACCTGGTGGTGAAGCCACCTACCCATGCTGGACCCCAAGGAAGCCCCTTTCCCTGTTTCTGTTTGCTTTACTGCAGAAGAGGGTGACAGAGGTGTTAGCCAGGCACACGTTTGCTTGGGCAATGACATTTCCTGACACAAAAGTGACTTGTTTTCCAGAACTACAGTGACTGGTGTTTCTAGATTCCTCACCCGCAGTGTACTGTTCCTGAGGATGGCTGGCCTTGGGAGGTCACCTGACATTTTAAAACTCACTGTCCCTGGTTACTCCTAGCAATGGGTAGCCACGGCCCCAAAGGGAACCTCTCATTCTCTTCCTTCACCCTCCTTTCTGCCCTATAGCTACTCCAGCCTACAGGCAGGTGGCGAGTTTTTTCCCTCTGCAGACTGTTGTGGATATCACACTGTATAAATAAAATGCTGATTGGCCAGTAGCCAGACAGGAAGTAGTAGGTGAGACAGGCAGAGAAGAGAATTCTGGGAAGAGGAAGGCTGAGTCAGAGAGACGCTGCTAGCCGCCGCCATGACCAGCAGATGTTAAGATACTGGTAAGCCACGAGCCACGTGGCAACTTATAGACTAATAGAAATGGGTTAATTTAAGATATAAGAACAGTTAGCAAGAAGTCTGCCATGGCCATACAGTTTGTAAGCAATGTAAGCCTCTGTGTTTACTTGGATCTGAGCGGCTGTGGGACTGGTGGGTGAGAGAGATTTGTCCTGACTGTGGGCAAGGCAGGAAAACTCCAAATACAGCAGACCCCTGCCCCCAACTGCCAAATAAAAACAATGCTGCCATGCTGTCCTTTGTTTCCTTTTCGAAGACTTTTGAAGAGACAGGGAGTGGTGTACCACGCAGCCTCAGCCTTTCCTGGCTTGACCATAAGAGACCAAGCTTCTCTAGGTGTGGGGGTTTTGTTGTTGGGTCTTTAATACAGCCAAACGCTGAAGGCCCAGCTACGGCTCTGTGAGGTGCTTGGGTTACCACCTTTGTGTGGTGATGGGGACAGGGGTCAGAGGTGGCTGAGCAGAGACATGCAGGTCAGTTTGCTTGGGTACCAGGGTTCCAGTGTGGGCGGAAGGCCGTTCCCAGCTGCACTGGCTTAGCGTGTCCAAGGGTTGTACCTGACGCCTGTGCCATTTCTCCTGAGACCAGGTCTTCCTCCTGTCACCCTATTGCAGGCACAGGGGCCCACATGGCTCCAGTTCCCACTGAGCATCTGGGGAGGGCTCAGAGGTTCCGAGTCAGCAGCTAATGTGCTCAAGGCCTCACGACAAGCCTGGCCTCTAGACCCAGTCTGACCACCTCAGACCCTGCAGAGCTTTGTGTGTATGTGTGATAGATTTTACTTTTAAAGGGGACTCCTTGCTCAGGTCCTCCCAAGGTTCATACCTCATTGATGAAGTCTCCAATGTCGCCTGGGTGGGGCACCACAGGCCTGACTGGGTACTGGGGCTCAGCACCTACTGGCCGTTCATCCACCCGCCTCACACCAGGGGCCTTGCTCAGCACATGCTCCATGGCTTCCGGCTGCTGTAGCTGGCTGAGGTCATAGTCCTGGGGATGGAGGCCAAGTGAGTCAGGGGAACGGGAACGTGGGGGCAATAGGTGGGGCAACAGGAAACCTGATCACACCCCTGTTTAGTTTTGTGACCCGCCCGGAGGGTGCCACTGTACCAGTCTCCAAGCACACTCAACTGCCCTATTCCATCCCCATGGCCGCCCTTGCCACGCTATCCACCTCTTCTCTGTTTGCTCAAGTCCTGCCTGACCTCCAGGTAGCCATGGAGTCTGTGCCTGCCAGCTGCTTTGCCGAGGCCTGGAGCTCCCTCCTGGCGGGTGACCTTTCTGCCTGCAGATCAGCAGCCTTGGACTGCCACCTTGCACGCTCAGTGCTCATAGGAAAGGGCTGGGTCCTCCTTGGCTGTACCAGATAGCTCTGTGTAGTCCACCCACCCTGATCAGAGAGCCCCCTACTGGGAGTGTCCAGGAGGTGGGTGTTGGTGGCCCCGGAAGACTCTGGTCTGTTTCCTCCAGAGCACAGGGCAGCAGAGGGTGGGGGCTGGAGAGGGAAGAGCATGGAAGGGGGACAGGCCTGCTGGAAGGATGCAGACAGAGCCTGTGCAGTCTGCCCAGGCCTGAGCACACACAGGGGAGGCTGCAGCCTGCGCCTGGATCTGTGCCTCTGGAAAGGAGTACACAGTACCTTTCCATAAGAAAGAGGACATGCGAGGCTAAAGGCCCAGAATGAGCCCTGCTAGCCCGTGGAGTGCAGTAGGCAGGCTGAGACCTGGGGCTCACCTGGTCCTCCTCGCCACCGCCTTCCTCGTCGTACTTTAGGATGTTGTCACGCACGTCGTCCTCAGGGTCGATGAGCAGCTGCTTCGTGTGTCGCTCCTTTTCCCTCCGCTTCATCCACACAACGAACAACAGGACCATGACTATGAGAGGAGGGGCCACATTGTGAGCAGTGTGTGCGTACGTGGGCATGTCTGTGCATATATGTGCACAGCTGTAAATCTGTGTGCATGCATGGCTTTTTGTGTATATAAATGTGTGCATGTCCGGGCATATCATGAACATGTAATGGTTGGATGCATGTATATTCTGTGTTCATCTACATAGGCGGGTAGACGTGCACAGCTATGCCTTGTCCTTATACCCCACAGTGGGGTTACAGCTATGCCCTGTCCTTACACCCCACAGTGGGGTTACAGGTATGTGCACAGTTATGCCCTATACTTACATCCTACAGTAGGGTTATAGGTGTAATAAAGATTGCAGCTAGCTTGAAGGCCAGGACCCTGTAAGTGACAGATAGCATTTCTTTCAAACATAGGACAAGGTGGTGGCCAGAGGACCTCTTGATGTGGCCCAGATTGTAGATGGAACTGGAGAGAGAGTGGGGGAGCTCCCACCTGTGAGCAGCTAAGCAGAAACCAGAAACCTTGAGCCACTCTCCACCAGATCAAGTGTCCAGAGAGTCAGCTGTGCAGCTGGTGTCTCAGATAAGTTACCGAGGAGACATGTGGAAGGAGTTTGTGGGAGAAGGGATGTGCCCCCTGTATGCCTCAGTCTCTGACAGGGCCACAGGGGTGTCTGTACTTGGATCCCTGGCTTGGTACACTCAGCAAGCTGGAGAGGGACCCAGGCTCCCTCTCTGGCTGGTAGTCCACTCACTTCCACATGGGTACTGCCTACTGCTGAATTCTCTATTCCTGTCCCTTGTGTCTTCAGAGGAGAATGCAGACTCCACCCCCATTCCAGAGTCACCTCCCCCCAGTGTGGATGTTTCTGATCCCACATAAAGATGACACCACCCTGACTGTCTGGGCAAAGGCCTTGGAACCAGATATAGTTAGAGGGAACCCTGGG